AGCCTGAGCATGTGTGAAGCCACAGAAGAGTTTAAAAGACGGATGGAGATGATGAGATTTCTATTGCCAAGAAAAATCCACTAAATCCCAGCAGGCTTTGTTATAAAAAATGACATACTAATTCTGAAATCCATATGGAAATGCGAAGAACCTAGAATAGCCAAAATAACTTTGAAAAAGAACAAAGTTGAAGTACTAACATTCCCTGATTTCAAGACTTATTATAAACCTACAGTAATCAAGACAGTGTGGTTTTGGCATAATTAGATCCATGAAATAGGATAGAGTTCAGAAATAGACCAACTCATATATAGACAACTAATTTTTGACAGAGATGTGAAGGCAATTCAGTGGAGAAAGAACAATCTCTTCAACAAGTGTAGCTAGGACAACTGGTCCATATGGGAAAAAATAATTTTGATCTATACCTCATATCGCATATGGAAATTAACTCAAAATGGCTCATAGACCTAAATGTCAAACCTGAAACTCTAAAACTTCTAGAAGAAAACAGAGGAGAGAAATCTTTGTAACTTTGGATTAGTCAAAGATTTCTTAAATCCAATGCCAAAAGCATGATCCATAAAAGAGTAAATTGATAATATTGGACCTGATAAAAATTTAAAGATTTCTGCTCTTTGAAAGAGCTCTTCAGAGAATTGAAAAACAAGGCATGGACTGGGAGAAAATAATGGCAAATAATATACCTGATAAAGACCTTGAATCCTGAATATGTATATAAAGAACTCTCAGAATTTAATAATAAGAAAACAAGGAACACAATAAAAAAAAAAAGTGGGCAAAAGACCTGGATAGTCTACCAAAGGAGAGGAACAGACGTAAAATAAGCACATGAAAAATTGCTCAACATCATTAGTCATCATCAGTCATTAGGAAAACACAAAACTATAATGAGACATCACTATACACCTATCAGAATGACTAAAATTTAAAAAGACTGCCCATACCAAGTACTGGGGAGAAATAGAGGAGCTAGAACTCTCACACACTGCTGGTGGGCATATAAAATGGTATGGCCACTTTGGTACAAAGTTTAGTAGTATCTTAAAAAAATAATTCTCCAAGAGAAATGAAAGAATGTGCCCTTACAAAGAATTGTACGTTAATATTTGAAATAGCTTTATTTGTAATAGCCAAAATCTGGAATCAGTTCAAATGTGTACCACCAGATGAATGGATAAATAATTTTTGGTAGATCCCTAAAATGGAATACTACTCAGCAATAAAAAGGAAGGAACCATTGATATATATAACAACATGGATAAATCTCAAAATAATTATGCAGAGTAAAAGAAGTCTGACAAAAAAGTACATATATGCATGATTCTATTTTTACAAAATTCTAGGAAAATGCTATGTATGATTCTGTTTATATAAACTGTAGAAAATGCTAAGTAATCTATAGTGACAGAAAGATCAGTGGCTATCTGGGTATGAGTGGCAGTAGGGCAGGAGTGAAAGGAGGAGATTCTAAAGGGACATGAGAAATTTGGGGGTGGCAGATTATTCATTATCTTGACTGTAGTAGTGGTTTCAAGGGTGTATACATATGCCAAAACTTATCAAATTGTACAGTTTAAATATGTTTATTCAAAGTGCTTAAATGGCTAGACTTCAATAAAAAATACAGTGTTTATTTGTGCCAATTGTCAGGTTATTGTATGTCAATTATATCTCAATTAAAAATTTTAAAAATAAATAACAGAAAAAATAAGCTAGTTATATTAAAGAAGATGGATAGGAAAATATGGGGGTGGTGGAGGGAAAGGCACAGGTGGATTTAGGATAAACAGTTAGGGGCTATTACAAAAACCCAGGAGGGAAATGGTGATAATTTAGAAGAGAGTGAGTGCAGTGAGGATGGTGAGAAGAAGAGGGATCAAAGGATTTAGGAGTTAAAATAGAAAGTACTGGTGATGGATTGGATGGAGAGGAATGGAATGAGGGAGAGGGCTGGGGGACAGTATCTAGGTTTGTGGACTGCCCACTCTGTGCCATTCAGTGAAACACACTCAGTATTAATACTGAAAGAAGCCCGTGTCTCCCCTCTCAACTCTACCCCCAGTCCTCTCCTCATGACCACTCTCCTAGGTTACACCTTATCACCTTTTAACTGCATTGGTGCAAATAGTTTCTTCTCTAATCTCCATATCCAGACTTGCCTTCTCCAACTGATCATCAGAGATAAGAGTAATCTTCCTAAAAGACATGTCACTCTCCTGCTAAATTCCTTTCCAGGATTCAGGATAAAGTCCAAGGTCCTTAGACTGGCATTTGTGAGGTCTTCCCTGGCTTGGCCCCTATCATCTTCTACAGTCATCGTGCCTTCCTGCCAACACCTGGCAGGGCTTGGCTCCAGACATAGTGAATTGCTTGTAGCATCTGGAATGTTTCCCTCCTCATTTGAACTCACTTCCTGGCTTGGGTCGGTGACTCTTAGGTGCTCATTTCACATTTTATGCTTCCTTTTATCGGAGCATGTGTTTCCCTGGATGGTATCTATCTGCAGCTCTGATTTGGTTCTCATTCCGAGGCTCTTTCTCTTGCACCTCTATGGTGGTCTCCTTTCACTTTCCCTCTGTAAGTGTGGAGATCTATTTGCTTCTCCTGGACCCCTTCAAGGAGTCTGAGTACTGTTCAGCATCTAGAGTAATACCAGGCACATAGTAGGTTCCTCAGCTTTGGCCCTTGGGCTTTGCTTTCTGTGAGCAATGTTGCTGGTACTAACCAGCTTTCTTCTTGCTGATTTGGCCTGACTCCCCAGCCCCATTCATTAGAAGGTCCCTACTTTTCACAAATTAATGTCTCAGCTTAATGGGAGACTTTCATAGGATCATCTTTTGGACATCAGACGGTGGCTCCACTGGTGTCACTAGGGTTGGGTCTGTTGCTCAACATTTGTCCCATATCTAGAGGCATGTCCTGGACACTCCCTGCCTTTCATGCCTCACCTAGTGCAACAATACGTTCCTTCCTCACATGGTGTCTTGAGTACCTATGGAGTCAGACCTATTCTGGGCAATGGGGAGATGAAGAAGGATGAGATATAGTCACTGACCTCAGGGGGCTCTAGATTTGACATTAAACAAGTTGTACTCATTCCCTGATTTTTGGTTTCCCCACTACTAAAATCATGTCTAAGCTGCCTTTTTCTCTATAACCTCATGTTTCTGAAGTTAGAATGAAGCAGAGTGATAGGAAGATGAGTAAATTATAGATGAGGAGGAACTAATAAACACCTGAAAGAAAATAAGCAGCATTGATAAAACAGTCTCAGTTATTGCTTGGCTAATTAATTTAAGTTCTCTACACAGCAGACAACTATGCTTGTGTTGAAACACCAATGCCTATGGGTTGCTGTTATCATTCAAAATGTGTTTGTCTTTTTTTTTTAACATTTTTTATTGATTTATAATCATTTTACAATGTTGTGTCAAATTCCAGTGTAGAGCACAATTTTTCAATTATACATAAACATATATATATTCATTGTCACATTCCTTTCTCTGTGAGCTACCATAAGATCTTGTATATATTTCCCTGTGCTATACAGTATAATCTTGTTTATCTATTCTACAATTTTGAAATCCCAGTCTATCTCTTCCCACCCCCCACCCCCTTGGCAACCACAAGTCTGTATTCTATGTCTGTGAGTCTGTTTCTGTTCTGTATTATTCCACATATGAGCGATCTCATATGGTATTTTTCTTTCTCTTTCTGGCTTACTTCACTTAGAATGACATTCTCCAGGAGCATCCATGTTGCTGCAAATGGCGTTATGTTGTCGGTTTTTATGGCTAAGTAGTATTCCATTGTATAAATATACCACATCTTCTTTGTCCAGCCATCTGTTGATGGACATTTAGGCTGTTTCCATGTTTTGGCTATTGTAAATAGTGCTGCTATGAACATTGGGGTGCAGGTGTCATCCTGAAGTAGCGTTCCTTCTGGATATAAGCCCAGGAGCGGGATTATTGGGTCATATGGTAAGTCTATTCCTATTCTTTTGAGGAATCTCCATACTGTTTTCCACAGTGGCTGTACCAAACTGCATTCCCACCAGCAGTGTAGGAGGGTTCCCTTTTCTCCACAGCCTCTCCAGCATATGTCATTTGTGGAATTTTGAATGATGGCCATTCTGGCTGGTGTGAGGTGATACCTCATTGTAGTTCTGATTTGCATTTCTCTGATAATTAGTGATACTGAGCATTTTTTCACGTGTCTATTGATCATTTGTATGTCTTCCTTGGAGAATTGCTTGTTTAGGTCTTCTGTTTATCAACTCAAAATGGATCAAAGACTTAAACATAAGACAAGATACAATAAACCTCTTAGAGGAAAATATAGGCAAAACATTATCTGACATACATCTCAAAAATTTTCTCCTAGAAGAAATAAAAGCAAGAATAAACAAATGGGACCTAATGAAACTTACAAGCTTCTGCACAGCAAAGGAAATCATAAGTAAAACAAAAAGACAACCTACAGAATGGGAAAAAATTTTTGCAAATGAAACCGACAAAGGCTTGATCTCCAGAATATATAAGCAGCTCGTATGACTCAATAAGAAGAAAATAAACAAAATGTGTTTGTCTTTAAAGCTTCATAAGTAGCACAGATCATGACATGGGAAGCATGCCAAATGTTTAATTGACAGTTTAAGTCAGGTGGTTTCTGAGATGCACAACCTTTGTCTTCAGGAGGCAGTCAAGTAAAGGTTAAGAATAAAGTTTTAGACCTGGTCAGAATGACCATCATTCAAAAGTCCACAAATGATACATGTTGGAGGAGGTGTGGAGAAAAGGAAACCCTCCTCTACTATTGATGGGAATGTAGTTTGGTACAGCCATTATGGAAAACAATATGGAGATTCCTTAAAAAAATTAAAAATAGAGTTACCATATGATCTAGCAATCCCACTCCTGGGCATATATTTGGAGGAAACTCTAATTCAAAAAGGTACATGCACCCCAATGTTCATAGCAGCACTATTTACAATAGCCAAGACATGGAAGCAACCTAAATGTCCATTAACAGATGATTAGATAAGAAGTTGTGTTATACATACCCAATGGAATACTACT